ATATACACACATATATATATATATATATATATGTATATATATATATATATATATATATATAACCATTTCATCCTTAAATAATCTATCTTCAAATGCACTTTGACAATTTCTAACACCTCATCTTAACATTTTCCCGATACCTAAAAGTTCTAGTGTTTTGCCTACGAGATTTATGTTTATTATTTGCGGGGATATTGTATTCGTCCTTTTAGTGGTTTCTATTTCCTTCGATTGCAGTTCCATCCAGCTTCTCGCTCCAAATTTTCTCCTAGACATGTCGTTTATTTAGTACAGAATTATAAACATAGACAAAAGGATACATTATATTCACATTATACACAGGTGTACCCACCCCATTCTTATACTCTCTCCAGCCCAAGATCATATTCGTACTGATGGCTATTTTAAAATGGCATCTAAATTAACGCATTGGTGCAGGCTAACCAAGAAAGATAACTTGATTAGTTACTTATATTATGAAGTTCAAACACCCATTTACGCTTCAACCTACTGAATTCCCTTTCTTGGACATTCTGTGCATACAGCTATGCATGCGTGCAAGTATGCATAGGTGGATCTCTCAAAGTAGCCATGCTAAGTGCATGCGCCATGCATTGCCTAAAAACGGTTGGCGTAATTAAATCCGCTTGCGCTTGCTTTCTGGGACCTTTAGCTTGTCACCACTGGCAAGTCGGAACCATGGAGACTCTGTGCCCTCGGTATCACTAGGTCTTCGGCGTATTATGGTTGATTCCAAAGCTCGTGCTTCAAAGGGAGTGGTCTCAGTGCATCTATGTTTGGCGTAAGCAGACCTATTTACTATAGGCGTAGTTAACTTGAATGCACATAATATAAGTGGTTATTCAAGAAACTAAAAGCCACAACAAGGGCTGGTCTGCTATCGCAATGAACCATATTTTCAATCTTTGGGGTGAAAACAAATAAATGTGTAGCCCGATGACTGCGGGAAGATGATGACGTCTGAGACGGACCTTATGGTGTGTCTTTTCCATCGAACTTTTTGTTTGACTTAATATCCTACCCAGCGATTACTCTTGGATAGACCCTACAGCTAGGCATTTAGGCTACTTTTAACACCCTAGATGTGGATGTGGCGCCAGCTGTATGTGAATTTGTGGGATAGTGTTGAAGTGGGCGAGAGTAAGTGGACCTTGGCGGTGAGCGTGGGAATCTTGCTTTAGCAAAAGTCTTGCTGACGAATAAATGTTAGCAAGCGCGTTCTGATAGGAATGCTCATTTGTGTCGTAAAAATGGCTCCTTTGAGAGTCATTCTAAAGGGAATTGGCCTTTTGGGCTTTCAGTGACGCGTTTCTCCTTCTCCACTTCGGAATAGATATATTTGCTGATTCATGTTCTAGGACAGCCATTATCTTTCGAAATTCTTACGAAAAAATCAACTCATGCCATCTATGCACATACCCTCTATTCAATTGAACATCATTTTAACTGATATAATCTTACATTTTATTGGGGCATAACTAGTATAATGCAGTTAATGCCTTTTCAATGTTGAATTCCCGTTATGGGCCCGACCAGCGTCGCCTAAACTTTGTGTACGTCTGTCCGTCCACCCGTCAAAATTGTAGACTGAACAATCTGGATGTGTTGCAGGCGGCCAACTGATCATTTTCCCTTACTGCTATAGCCTTTCGAAACTTCCTAACCAGGCCGTAATAAACGAATTTTCTGCGTACTTTGATGCTCCAGGAGCAAACATGATGTGCTTAAGGTGTCATCCCTAGCAATGTAACAAATAGAGTAATCTTTATGTATGCCCAAAAAGAGACCTGGGGGAAATTGAAAAAGGATCAAGCCGAAGTGAATCGAAACTTCTGTAAAACTTTCTGATATGAACATTCGTTTGAGCGTTGAACCTAGCGAATTTTTGCTCCAACCGTCTTCGTCTGTCTGTTAAGCCAAGAATGCGCATCCCACCCAATCTATTCACAGCCGTCAAGAACAGATCTGATACTTGCCGCGCCCTCTTTGAGTATGCTTGAGTGTATGGGCCAATTTGAACACTTCTTTGCGCTGTCCACTTAAGAAGATCGTCCAGTTTGTGTACCCTGCCTTATTCTTGCTTGTTGCAAGCCTACTGCCATCTCTGCCTCTTAGTATCTCAGTGCCACCCTTATTTTTCCTTAAAAACTCCAACCTCTAATATACGACAGACTACCTACAAATTGTAACATCACTATCAATTTCTATACTACAGCAGAGTCCCTGATAGTTATCATGCCTTGAAGTTAGATTGTCGGTGGCCAATGTAATGGCTCTGCTCCTTTTGGTACCTTCGCCTTGGAATGCTCGCAAGTACTCCTGGCGCCCAGTCCCAATTACTTCGTTTGACTTTGCCCAACGGCTCTAGTTCCAGGATTACGGCTTAACAAACTGGCTGGTTCTCCACCGCCCTCACGTCTGGCTCCCTCGAGTCCAACCGAAGGACCCCCAGCCCTTCTGCTGTACCATATCACCAGGTCCATCTAAGAGACGGCTGGGTAATTGCTTCCGCTGTTCCTCGGCCACCAACCGCTAACCACTTTTGCTGTGCCCTAGCGACCAGCCCCCGGAATCCACTTAAGATGGCTACATGGCCAGACCACGAGGCAGGTGAAGAGACTGACCTGTCCTGGCCTCATTCCGCTGCTTGCCTTCTCTTCGCAGACTGAACTAGGCAAATCGAGGGCCACAATCGGGCCTCATGCAAGAGCACTCTGGGGAAACCGGCAATAGTCGGCAGAGCTTCTTAAAGGTACCATCGACTGTGCCAGCAAGAAAGAAATAGACAGAACTCGAGACCGGCCGAGAGGGAAGTAGGAGTAATGCACATAATATAGGTCATTTCATAGACCTCTTGAAATTTATGGCCTGTTTAGCATACTGGCCTAGGGGAGTAGGGACAAGGAGAATACGGAGCTACAGCGTACAATGCGCCATCAGAGGCCGGAAACGAAGCCGGGACCCTGATATGCCGTCCTTGGCATAGGTTAGCTTCACTCATTTGACCAGTAGACAAATCACATTCTATCGTCCTTGTCTCCTCCATCTCTTTTTTCTCTCCCGGCTATTCGTGGGCCAAATGGTTTCTGTGTGGGACCTATCCACCAGGCCGGAGTATCTATTACATACCCAACCTAAGTCTGTTTTGCCCACACGCAGAAAGGCCGGGCTCATTTATCTATTTATTTATTTATTTATTTATCTTTGTTCAGCCACTGGGCTTCTCTCGCCCAGGTTGCCATGACCCAATGCACTCAAGCACAGTTGCACAAGATCCGCCATTTGCGACGTCTTCTGCCAGCCCTATCTGTCCATGAGCCTTCTTCTCTGTGCCTCCCATTGGCTTTAATTCTAACTGACGACTGAACAGGCCGCATAATTAGCTATCCTCCCTAAGTTAATTGGCCATAATTTTGGAGTCGTTGAGGCCACAAAGACTTCAAAGGATATTTGTGGCTGCAGATTAGAGCAAAATTGCAATTTATGGGTAGCGAATTTAATCTAATCTATGGCAGAATTGGACCTGCATCAGAATAACATGAATAGGTGTATGCGGTGCACAAGTTCGAACCATGATACCGTGAGAGTCTTCATTCCCTGAACCGCTGTCTCTACTCTCCTTCCTAACTTAAAAAAGCTGAAATGGGTATACTTGATTAATGGCCTGACGATTAATCTCCCATTCAAACATTACTGTCCTTGATAGAGTGGGCTGGCTAACATCCGCAGTGTTGCCCGGCCTCCCATGCATATCATATTCTCTCCTGTGACCATTCATGTTCGGCACACAACATAACATGGCCTGTTCTCTCCCGTTTTGATGTGCGTTGGACCTGGTATGGGAGGAAAGGCAGATTGGAACTGTCTGACAAGAATGTGACAAATGATAGTGATGGCTTCTTTCTTTTTGACGTACCAAGAATGTGTGCTATTCGGTGGATGAGGCTAGACTTTCATATGTACTCCGGTTATGCTATAAAGCATGACAATTTAAAGTGAATTTTCTCACAAGGCTACCCCAAAT